CCTCTGTGGAGTGCTGTGATCTGCCTCAGTCTGTATGCAAGGCCAGTCCCTTTGTCTTGCGTCTAACACATGGTGTTAGACTCASTGGGACAAGAAAACAACCAGTATTAAACTGGGGAGTGTGGTGTAGCTGGGTTCRATGCTCCCCAGGTCTGATGTGGGTGCCAGAATTGGGCTGTGTGCTCCCTGTCAGGGGCTGCTGGCAGGGTCTGGCAGCGTGGATGCTCCTCCAGGCCACCTTCCTGTCACTGTGTGGTGACTCTTGGTTCCTGCGAGCAGGGAGTGTGACACAGCAGAGCTGCAGCTGCCACAGCGAGTGGTGCTGGCCTGAGCAGAGCTGCCCCGAGCTCCTGTCCTGCTGGAGCTGAGGCAAACYCCCTTCTCTTGCAGCTGCCTTCCTAACACAGACAGTGTGTCTGGATGACACAACAGTGAAGTTTGAGATCTGGGACACGGCGGGGCAGGAGCGGTACCACAGCCTGGCCCCCATGTACTACCGGGGGGCTCAGGCAGCCATCGTGGTCTACGACATCACCAACACAGTGAGTGTGGGCAGGGCTGGGGGGCTGCCAGGAGGCTCCTGATGCCCTGGGTGTGTGTCTGGGTCAGAGACCTGCAGGTACCTGCCTGTGGGTGCCAAATTCTTGAAAACTGCTCGTGGCCTCTTCCTCAGCTCCGGCCAAGGCTGTGAGCTGATAAAGGATCCTGCTGCCAAGTGCTGCAGAGGCAGAACACTTCTCACAGGAAAGCCTTGTTCTAATCATATCTGCCCTGTGGATTCCTACACGGCTGCCCTTCCTGACTGCTGCCTCCTGTTTGCTTCCAGGACACATTTGTACGAGCCAAGAACTGGGTGAAAGAGTTGCAGAGGCAGGCTAGCCCCAATATTGTAATTGCACTAGCAGGAAACAAGGCAGACCTTGCTASCAAGAGAGCTGTGGACTTCCAGGTGAGTGGGAATCCAAATAAGTTGTTACCCAAGCAGGTCAGGAAAGCATCTTTTTGCTTAAGTGAGGGAGATGGTGGCTGTGTAAAATATGCTTGGAGGGAAAATGAAAGTGAGGTTTTGTGCTGAGGACTGCAGGATGCCACTGAACAGGATCTGTTCCCTGCCCTTCCCTTTATTCTGTCATAGCACACGTGGCCCTGGCTGGTGAAAGTTCTGGTGAGTGAGTGTGGAGGAGGAGGCCCACGGAGCACAAGCTCCTTTTCCTCAGTCTCCTTTGCTGCCTTACGCAGGCAGGGATGTCTGTGGGGTGTGAAACAGCATCTTCTGGGTACMAGACACATGAGGAATCATTCCCAGCTTGTTCTCTGCTGTTCACAGCTCTCATCRCATCTGAAGCAAGCGTTCAGGAGAGATTCTTAATCAGCTCTGTCACAGGATTGCTTGTGGTGCCCTTGCAGTGGGTGACATCCTCCCAGCTGACCCAGCCACCAGTCAGACTGTGCCCCAGCTCAGCTGTGGGACACTGGCCATGCAGGGCTGCCAGTGGGGCTTGTCCCTGGGTTGTTCTAAAGTTGTCCCCCGGGTGGGGACAGGTACTGGGGAGGGAATTTCTGGCCCAAGGTGTGATACAGCATTTCTCCAGGTGTTAATGTTGACAAGTGAAGCGCATGAAGTCTGCTTGAGCTCCTGGCAGAGTGCCTTTAGCACTCTGATGTGATTGTTTGTAGGATGCACAAACATATGCAGATGACAACAGCTTGCTGTTCATGGAGACGTCGGCGAAGACAGCGATGAATGTGAATGAAATCTTCATGGCAATAGGTAATGGCCTGTGTGCAGGGCTGAGGTAGCTCTGAGTGCCAGCACTGCAGCCCAAGGGGGTCCTGTGTCAGCCAGGGCTGGTGGCTCTTACTGGGACTGGTGTCCAGGTTGCCATAATGGCGTGATCAGTCATTCCCTGAGTGTGTGGGGCCTTAGCCTTGCAAAGCTTCCTCCTCTCTCTGTGTCTGGCGTGGTGAGGGAGGAAGGAGCAGCCAGAGCTGAGGATGGGCTGGTTTGCCATGCAGTGCTACTGGCAGTGTCCCAGTGKTGGTGAGGGGCTGGGCTGGAGCAGGCTGAACCCAGCCTGGGGTGTRCAGCGGGAGGAGCTTACCCCCTCTAACAGACCCTACTAACACCCTGTTTCCTTCTAGCCAAGAAACTGCCAAAAAATGAACCCCAGAATGCTCCTGGTGGGCAAGGCAGGAATCGGGTGGTGGACCTTCAGGAGAGCAGCCAGCCGAGCAGAGGCCAGTGCTGCAGCAACTGAGCAGCTGCYCCGGCCCGCGAGCCCTTGGAGGACGTGACTGGAACCCACGCTAACGATCGCACTTACCGTAGGGCGGCTGCTGCCGGCGCCGCTGTGATTCTCCATCCCTTTCTGATCATAGGCTGGAGGGAGTTCTTCCACCTGCACCTTTCTGTACAAATACTAATTCAATTCTAAGTCTTAAGTCACTTTTTTAATATATGAACTTCTGCTCTTCCCTCTTCCTGGTGGTGGTGGATGCAGGACCTGGTGTCTGCCCAGCCAGCGTGGCCGTCCCGCGGGTGAGGCCAGCAGCACCCAGGTCCCACAGCACTGTAGTTCACTATGGGAAACAAAGGGATATTGGGACACGTGTTTAAAGTTCCCCGTGTGTAAGAGCTGAGGCTGATCCCGTATGATGCGCCCAGAACAACCACTAAACTGTAGCATTAGAGACAAACTCCGGCTCTTGGGCCACTTATTGACCAAATCAATGATGAGTATTTGGGGTGGGGCAGAGGGAAGCAAAACTGGTTTCTTCTGTATTTTGTATTGTATGTTTCTCCATGTAACCAATCAGTATCTTGTCAATATAGTACATCCAACGAGCTGCCTGTTGTCTTTCTTTGTGTTGGACTCCAGCATGCCAACTCTTCTTTTCTCTCGGTTCTGTCGTAATGCACTAATCCTGTTGCAACTTTTTGCAAAAAAAAATCTTGTATAGAAATTTGTCCTTTTCTTGATGGTTGTGATGCCACTAATATTGTTAACCCTGCTCTGGTGGGAATACACAAGGTTTACTGATGTACAGAGGTGGGGTGGGGGAAGCCTTGGGTAACCTGTCAGTGGGAATGAAATGTATTGCAAAAGCCTGTAATTCCACAAAGAATGAAGGGAGGTATTAAATGGCTTCTGTTGCCAGACTCTAACTGATGTTGGCTGCTGCCTAGTGCCTAATGCAGTGTCTTATGCATCCTGGTATTTAAGAGGAACTGTTGACTTAGTCTTCATCACAAACTTCAGTTTTGTGTGATTAAAACAAAATTTTTATAAACCTATCATAACAACAATGTTTATGTTTCTTAATGCAGCAGGGACTGGACCCTAAGCACAACAGTTCTGGTGGAGGCTGAGCTGTGCTGGGCTGCTCCTGGTGTGTCCCACACCTTGGAAGGGAAATGGGGAGGGAAAAATGGGGCTTCTGAGCTTGGGCTGTGTGGCTGCTCCTGCACAGCTTCTCTCCTCACAGTGATGCTGCTTGGTGTTCACTTGGCTCCAGTGTGCTCCAGGGAAATAGAGGGAATTACTCCTTGCCTGATACTTCTGGGCAAACTCTGCGATGAAAGTTGGGAAGAGAGAGGGGGAGCAGTGTTCAGAGGAACTCAGCTCTGCAATGGGACAGGCTTGGGAGTGGTGCTCCAGAGTTAATGAATACAATGCCTCTGTCTCTGGAGGATGATGGCTTTGGAAGATGCTGCTSTCCTGTCACTGCTGCACAGACTGTGAGACCCCAAAACCCACAGCTGAGACCTGGAGTCGATATGGAAGGAAGAGCAGCCCTTTCAGCTCCATCTCTACCACGTGTGCTGCCAGCAGCACAGTTTGTGCTCAGGAGAGGCTGAGGATGGAGATGTGCTGCATTTGGACCCCTCAGCTTAGGGGCTGTGAGGGGCTCAGCCACAGGAGAGCTGTGAATGATTGTAGGAACAGCCTTGGCTTGTGTGTGCCCTTCATCCTCTATCCAAGCTCTCCATGCCTCTTCTTCATGCTGGATTTCCTTAAAATCCTGGAAGTGGGAAGGGTGTGGAGTGCCTGGGCTCATACTGGGATCTGTGGGGTGTGGAGTGGCCCCCACTGCCCCTCACTCGTGTGGGGCTGCTTAGCTCACAGCCTCTGTGGGACCACCCAGTGTGGGGTGGGCTGATGCTGCTGCTTTCCCCAGCAGCCAGAGATGGATCAATTGGAAAAGGGCTTCCCCGATCYCACTGGAACAATTCCATGAGCAGTGTGCAGTGCTGTTGCCATCTACTGGCTCCTCTCCCCGCGTGCCTGGTTCCTTCCTGGGTTTGGGGTCTCTGTGAAGGCAGATACCCTATGAAGGGTCGTGCTGCTTGTCAGAGCAGGTGCTCAGGAGTATTGAGACTGGGGCCCTGCTGCTGTTCCTGGTGTGTCTGGGGAATGGGCTGTCCGCTCTCAGGGTGGCTTTAGCACCAACGGGCGTTCCTGCYCGCATACCTGCTACCTGCCCACACACCTGCTGCCTGCCCGGGCCTGAGCGCGGGTGTTTGTGGTGGTTACGCACCGCGCCCGGGGTTGGGCTTTTCCCTCCCTGCTGCTGGGAGCTCAGGGTGGACTCCAGCACCCCTTGCCAAGCTGGGAGGGGGAAAACGTGGGTCCAGCAGCTTCACAACACACCCAGCCAGGCTGCCCAGTGTGGCTCCCTCCCCATTCTGTGTGCATTGGCCGAAGCTGTGGATTTGGAGTGGATGCTGATAGTGGTGTGAAGAAGGGGTGAGGGCAGACTGCTGCTCCTGCACAGGTGAGTGGGACTGCCCTTCCTGCCTCCTTCCCTTAACAGAACAGTGCTCCTAGATCCCCTCCCCTCCCTCAGAGAACTCTCTGGGTCTGCTCTCCAGCCCCATTTTTTGCTGCCCTGAGAAGCAAGATTTGTCAGATTGTTCCCTCTCTGTGCATACAGCTCCTCTGGCATCAAGAGCAGGGCACAGCCTCCCCATCAATCAACACCCAGAGAACACAAACAGATTCAATGCAAAAGTATTTTTATTGGATACAAAAACATTCCAGTGTAGTGAAAAAAATGACATCATTGCTGATGAAGCTTGTCTGGGCTTAAACCCGAGACTCGCTCCGGTCTGCTCCGGTCCTGCCGTGGCCATCGGGTCCCATCCTCTTACACCTGGGCTTTGTTGGCAGCTCCATCCTCAGAGGCTGCTCCGGTCTGTGGGGCTGCAGGGCTGACCTGGATGGGCACATTCCTCTCGGGAGCGGCCGGCAGTGCCAGTTTGGGGGCCTCGATGCGGAGCTGCCCATCCTTGGACAGGGAGCAGGTCAGCGCTTCGGCGTCCACCTCCTCGGGCACGTCCCACTCCCGCTTCAGCACCTCGTACTTGTAGGAGAAGGAGCCCTTGTCATCGACGTTCTGCGTCTCCTTCTGCCCCACCAGCACCACCTTTCTGCCCACCACCTTCACCGACAGCTGCTCGGGAGTGAAGTTCTTGACGTCCTGGCAGACTGAGAAGCCGTCTCCGGAGCTCTGGCTCAGGGTCATGCTGGTGCTCGGGGTGCGCTCCGCGGCGATGGCTCCGTGGTTGCTCAGGAGCTGCTCGAAGCTGCTCATGAACTCCCGAGCTTTCTCCATCTCCTGCTGCAGCTCGGTGAAGATGGTCTCTGCGTGCGGCCAGAGGGTCCTCACTGTGCCCAGACGGCTGGCCAGGGAGCTGGAGGCGAACGGTGCGAGGTGCATCCGGCAAAGCATCGTTGCTTCTGCTGCTGCTGCTGCGGCTGCTGCTGCTGCTGCTGCTGCTTCTGTCCCTTTTCCAGTGGGTTGGAAGCGTTCTGCCCCGCCGCTGCCGCCGGACGCTTTTATTCCCGTTCCCCGGAGGCGTGGCCTTGTCCAGCACATTACGTCAACCTCGGGAGAAGAGCTCAGCCCTTTCCAGCCCGTTCCAGCGCATTCTTGTTACTCATCCCTGAGGAGAGGCAGCGCTGACGTCGTGCCCGGCATACCTTCGCCCTGACTCTCACCGCTCTGCTCTCCTGGCTTATAATTAGCAGCATCACCTCAGCCTCTGAGCGGGATGCCTGAGCCACCCCTGCCAAAAATCTGTGCCCTTTGCATTTCCCAGGCATGGAGTGAGTCTGGGCTCGTGTCCTCCCTGCCTCCCCCCACCCTCAGCTGTGGCCCATTTTCCCCCGTCTGTGCCCAGCGAGGTCCCCTCAGTAAGACCAGAAGTCAGCCCGTGGGCCAATGTCCAGTTGGGGTGCACAGTGGGGCGCTTAGGGGTCAGAACAGGATGGGGGTGGCSAACAGGGAGAGGGGTCTCAGAAAGTTCAAGAAGTGGCAGCAGATGACATGGGACACGTTGCTTTAGGGGTGGGACTGCCCCTGTACTGGCAGAAGGGATGCGCTCCCGGCACAATGGAGCCGGGGCTCCACGGGGCCCCCAACAGGGTGGCCAGGAAAGGGCTCTGTGGCCCCCCGGCCATGGCCCCAAGGGCCCTGCTGCATCACGATGGCTCTGCAGAAACCTGAGCTCCCAGCAGTGACTGCGGCTCCCTATTTGTGGCATGTGACTTGTCCCCAGAAACAGGCGCTGCTATTTTGGCCGGTGGATAATCAGCCTCTCAAAAATAGGCGATGGCTCCAGGAGGGTGCGTGGGGAGAGAGCGTTCTGGAAGGGACACACCCCTGGGCAGGGGAGGATAAAACCCGTAGCTCCCCTGCCCCAGCCCAGCACGGTTTCAGCCACTGCACCGAGCAGAGCTGCAGCACAACCGGGAGCACTCTCCGGGATCAGAGATGCTTTGCCGCCTGCACTTCATGCCACCCATGTCCAGCTCGCTGTTCCCGTGGTTSGGACCCGTCCGCACCCTCTGGCCACATCCAGGCACCCTCTTCGCCGAGCTGGAGCGGGAGATGCGGCTGGAGATGGAGAGAGCTCGGGAGTTCATGAGCAGCGTCGAGCAGTACCTGAGCAGCGGGAGCAGCCCCGGACGGCTCGGCATCACCGCGGASCGCRCCCCGAGCACCAGCGCAGCCCTGACCCAGGGCTCCGGAGACGGCTTCTCWGTCTGCCAGGACGTGAAGGACTTTGCTCCCGAGCAGCTGTCGGTGAAGGTGGTGGGCAGGAAGGTGGTGCTGGTGGGGCAGAAGGAGACGCAGAGCACAGAYGACAAGGGCTCCTTCTCCTACAAGTACGAGGTGCTGAAGCGGGAGTGGGACGTGCCCGAGGAGGTGGACGCCGAAGCGCTGACCTGCTCMCTGTCCAAGGATGGGCAGCTCCGCATCGAGGCCCCCAAACTGGCACTGCCGGCTGTCCCGGAGAGGAATGTGCCCATCCTGATGGGGCCGGCGGTGGCACAGCCAGCTGGCAACACTGAGGATGGAGCCGARCGGGCCAAGGCGTGATGAGGAGCAACGGGGGCCAGGCTGAGCCTGGCTASGGGGGCAGCTGCTGGCCGCAGAGCGGGACCGCGCTGGGACTGCGCGATGGCCCGGGRGGTGGCGTCTGCCCAAAACGTGCAGCTTTTTTGATATGTAATAAATATTCCTAACTTTTATTTGTGTGSTTTCTGTGTTTCTGGACTTGCCCAGTCCTGTGCTTTGCAAGTCCTGCCTGTGCCCAGGCAGCGCGATGGCAGGGTGGGGTACAGGGCTGACACCATGTCCCTGGCACCTGTCCTCAGCTCTATTCTGGCAGAGGAATTTGAGCGAGGGGTTCCAGGCTCTGCGTAGCATTAATAATCCCCCGGGAGATCCTGAGCATCCCCCTGAGTAGCCTTCGAGCTGATTCCCATCTTTGGGACAGCGCAGGGATGCCGGGACACTCCGCGTCCCCCGTGCCCACCCCCCCCGGCAGTGCTGGCACTTTCCAGGCACTTTCCAGGCACTTTCCAGTCGCTGCCCGCAGCTCCCCGCCCCGTCCAGACGCTAAACCGCGCCCCCACGGTACAAGTGGGCGCGGTCTCTCCTAGATGGCCATGCGGGCGGACCCGGTTCATTGGCACCGGTCAGGAGGCGCGGCCACGCTCCGTGCCGGCGGCGACAAGGAGGGGGGCGGGTCACACGCCGCTTTTGGAGAAAAAGGCGTGGCCACGCTCCATATTTGCGGGAGCCCGCGGAGTGCGGATCGGCCGCGGTACCGGTTACCGGAGAGGMGGCGGCCGGGCTCCTCCGGGAACGCACCGCCCCGTGAGGGGCTGTCACCGTGGGTCGTCATGGCCGGGCTTGGATCCTCTGTGCACGCTTCACGRCAGCCGCAGGGGGCTGGGGAGCGCCGAGCGGGGGTTCTGCTCCTGTTGGGGACAGCGGGTGCCGTGAGCTGGGCCCGGGGAGCGCCGTTCCGGTAGCACCGAGCGCTCCCCCGCCGCTGTCACGGACTACAGATCCCAGCATTCCCGGCGCGCAGGCGCAGTGGGCGCGGGRCGCACGCCGGGCCCGGCATGGCGGAGCCGGAGGCCGCGCAGCCCGGGCGGCCCCCGCCGGGCCCGGGCACCGCAACCGCGGCGGCGGCGGGGGCGAGCGGGGCGGCGGCCGGAGGAGCGGGATCCAGCGATCCGGCACGGCCCGGGCTGAGCCAGCAGCAGCGGGCGAGCCAGCGCAAGGCGCAGGTGCGGGGGTTCCCCCGCGGGAAGAAGCTGGAGAAGCTGGGGGTCTTCTCGGCCTGCAAGGTGGGGGACATCGGTACTGAGGGGACGGGGAGGGCGGGAGGCGGGATGGGAGGCTGTGTTTGGGTGGGGGATGCTAGGACGGGCATGGGTGGGGAGTGCGGGAGGAGGGGATGCAAGGACGGGTATGGGCGAGGGGTGCAGGGGGTACAGGAGTGGGGGTTCGAGACTTTGCACGGGTGGGGGATGTGGGAGGAGGATGATGGCCTGAGTGGGGGATGCAGGAGAGAGCTGCAAGGACGATTATGGGTGTAGGATGGGGATTTTAGGGGGTGCCGGAGGGTGAGTGTAAGGAATGCTCAGACAAAGGATGCAGGATTGGGTGCTGGGATGTGCATGGGGTGCGGGGCGGGGTCGCTGGGCCGTGCTGGGGAGGGGGTGCAGGGAGGGAGCTGTGAGCTGTCCAAGGGAGGTGCAGGATTCTCTCTGGGCAGGGTCCTGGAGCTGCACAGGGGSCTGTTGGGATGGGGGCTGAGAAAAGCTGGGGTGGGTGAAAAGGAGTAGGTGGGAGCCAGGGAAAGTGTTTGACTGGAGAAGGCCACAGTGTCAGTGTGTGGGCTACTGTGACGGCCACTCCTGTCCCTCATCCCAGGCCAAYGACACCTGCAAATGCAACGGCTGGAAGAACCCCAACCCCCCCACAGCCCCTCGAATGGACCTGCAGCAGCCCGTGACCAACCTGAGCGAGCCGTGCCGCAGCTGTGGCCACGCMCTGGGTAACTCCTGTGGCAGCTCCCCAGGCAGGCTGAGCCCTGCTGACCCCCTGGTCTCACCAYGGCTTTCTGTCTGGCACAGCTGACCACGTGTCCCACCTGGAGAACGTCTCAGAGGAAGAGATCAACCGTCTGCTGGGCATGGTGGTGGATGTGGAGAACCTTTTCATGTCGGTGCACAAGGAGGAGGACACGGACACCAAGCAGGTGTATTTCTACCTGTTCAAGGTGTGTCTGGGGCTGTGTGTGTCTCACTGCCCTGCTCGTGGGGGGACTTGGGCGGGGTTCTTGCTCATTGTGGGGGAGCTGGGGCTGCTGGTCTGCTGTTTGTGCACTGTTGGAGCTGGGGCTGAACTATCCTGGCTACCCAGAGACCTGGAACACTGACCCTCTCCTACACTGATGCTCTCCTGGCCGTGAATTCCCTGTGGGAGTGATTTTAGGGGATGAACAGGTGTTCTCCAAGGGAAACCCCAATGCCTTTGTGGCTGCAGAAACTGGAACAGTCCCATGGCAGCGTTCAGCCACCTCCAGCACTCCTGGACCATCTGGTTCCTGGCACTGTGGTGACTGTGTCCGTGGTGTCTTTGCAGCTGCTGCGCAAGTGCATCCTGCAGATGAGCCAGCCTGTGGTCGAGGGGTCCCTGGGGAGCCCCCCCTTTGAGAAACCAAACATTGAGCAGGTGAGGCTGCTGTCAGGCTCGTGCACTGCCTTGATGACTTGTCCTGTGTTCTGCTGCCCTGGTACAGAAGAACTCAGAGCAGCCCCTGGCACCCTCCCACCATCCCATCCCCTCCCCTCCGCAGGGAGTCCTGAATTTTGTGCAGTACAAGTTCAGCCACTTGCCACCCAAGGAGCGCCAGACCATGTAYGAGCTCTCCAAGATGTTCCTGCTGTGCCTCAACTACTGGAAGCTGGAAACCCCGTCCCAGTTCCGCCAGCGCTCCCAGAACGACGATGTGGCCACTTACAAGGTCAACTACACCAGGTGAGGGCAGGGGGAGSACTGAGCCRGCCTCCCTGGGCTCCAGSTCCCAGGACTCTCCCCARCTCTCCCAGAATGTTGGTYCAYYAGGAGGGCAAGCACCCACTGGGGCTGGTGCTTCTAAATGTCACCCAGCCCTTCACCCACTGCTCTTCTGGGCCCTGCTCCTGCCAGCGTTGTCCCAGGAGGGCTGTGGATGGTCTGGGATCTCTGTCACTGGAGCCCCTTCCTGTCCCACAGGTGGCTGTGCTACTGCCATGTGCCGCAGAGCTGTGACAGCCTGCCCCGCTATGAGACCACGCACGTCTTCGGGCGCAGCCTCCTCAAGTCYGTCTTCACGGTGACCCGCCGGCAGCTGCTGGAGAAATTCCGGGTGGAGAAGGACAAGCTGGTGCCAGAGAAGCGGACACTGATCCTCACCCACTTCCCCAAGTAGGTGCCCGCTGTGGGGATGGCTGCTGGAGCACTGAGGGGACTCCTCCTTTGGGATTCTTGCATGCTGAGGTGCCACTCGCTGCCAGGTTCCTGTCCATGCTGGAGGAGGAGATCTATGGGGAGAACTCTCCAATCTGGGAGGCTGATTTCACGGTGCCAGCTGCGGAGGGTGCCCAGCTGGTGTCTCGCCCAGGTATTTTCAGGAAGCTGCCCCTCTGTTTGGGGGTTGTGGGATGAAGGATCAAGGTGTGGGTGGGCTGTGRTGGTGGCARTGGCTGCCAGGGTGTGACAAGGAGCTTTCTGGTGGTCATGGGCACTATGGGTCTGTTCCAGCTGCAGTCAGCACCGTCGCCGTGCCCACCACACCTCTGTTCAGCAAGAAGCTCAGCAGCAGCAGCTCAGCCACCAGCCTGGATGCCAGCACCCCAGAGCCCCTGCCAGGTAAGGTGCCATGAGCCCACACCACAAAGCTGGAACTGTCCGTGGTCCCTCCCAGCGCTGGATGTGCCACTGTGCTCCAATCTCAGGGGAGAAGAGGAAGCTGCCCGAGAGCCTGACCCTGGAGGATGCCAAACGGATCCGTGTCATGGGWGACATCCCCATGGAGCTGGTGAACGAGGTCATGCTGACCATCACGGACCCTGCTGCCATGCTGGGCCCCGAGGTACGGACTGGGGAAGCTGGGGCGGCTTTGATGCTCTCCGGGCCCCACAGAGCTGCTTTCCCAGTGTGCCAGGGTAGAGCAGGGCTCCCCCAACACAGATTGTGCAGAGTCAGTGACCCCYCCATGCCCCCAGACCAGCCTGCTGTCRGCCAACGCGGCGCGGGACGAGACGGCGCGGCTGGAGGAGCGCCGCGGCATCATCGAGTTCCACGTCATCGGCAACTCGCTGTCGCAGAAATCCAACAAGAAGATCCTGATGTGGCTGGTGGGGCTGCAGAACGTCTTCTCGCACCAGCTGCCCCGCATGCCCAAGGAGTACATCACCCGCCTCGTCTTTGACCCGTGCGTGGCTGGGGGGTGCGGGGGGGCCGCTCTGGGGGGCTCCCCTCACCCGTGGCCGTGCTGCCCGCAGGAAGCACAAGACCCTGGCGCTGATCAAGGAYGGCCGAGTGATCGGGGGCATCTGCTTCCGCATGTTCCCCACGCAGGGATTCACCGAGATCGTCTTCTGCGCMGTCACCTCCAACGAGCAAGTGAAGGTGAGAGTGGGGAGGAGGGACAGGGGTACACATGTGTGCCCCCCAAAGTCTGCCAGGGCTGGATGATCGCTCTGTAGCTGGTGCAGGGCTGCCCCAACCCCTTGGGCAACCAGAGCTGCTCGGCACTGGCCAGCTCCAAGTGGTGGAAGTTGCTCCAGGACATTTTCTAGCTTTTTCCGTGGGTGGGAGGGGACTGTGTATCCCAGCCTGGGGGGTCCCTGTCTCACKGTGTTTCCCCAAGGGCTATGGGACGCACCTGATGAACCACCTGAAGGAGTACCACATCAAGCACAACATCCTCTACTTCCTCACCTATGCGGATGAGTATGCCATTGGCTACTTCAAAAAGCAGGTGGGCTCCTTCCCCTGGGCAGCTGCCCCCAGCCCTGCTGCACACCTGCCCCCTCCCACCTACCCCATCCCGCCTKCCTGCTCTCTCCTAGGGCTTTTCCAAGGACATCAAGGTCCCCAAGAGCCGCTACCTGGGGTACATCAAGGACTACGAGGGTGCGACCCTGATGGAGTGTGAGCTGAACCCCCGCATCCCCTACACYGAGCTTTCACACATCATCAAGAAGCAGAAGGAGGTACGGCCCAGGGATGGGCAGGAGTGTGGGAGGGGCACCGGGGAAGCAGAGAAGAGGTGCGGAGCTGTGCTGGCCCTGAGAACAGACTTGCAGGGTGGAGAGGGGGCACTGGTGGTGGTGTCACACATCATGGTGTGTCTCTCTGGAGCATCCTGCTGCCCCTACTCATCTGCCCCCTTCCCTGCAGATCATCAAGAAGCTGATTGAGAGGAAACAGGCACAGATCCGCAAAGTCTAYCCAGGCCTGACCTGCTTCAAGGAGGGCGTGCGGCAGATCCCCATCGAGAGCGTGCCTGGCATCCGTGAGTCCTGGCAGGGGGCTGGCAGGAGGGCTCTGTCCTTCCTTCCCGTGGCTGAAGGGCACACGTGGTGACACTGACACTTRTCTTCCAGGAGAAACAGGATGGAAACCATTGGGGAAGGAGAAGGGGTGAGTGCTGCATGGGGAAGGGGAATAGACCTGCAGCAGCAGGGCTGGGGGTTCAGCTCAGGCTGTGCCTCAATCCTGGCATTGTCGTGGCTGTGGAATGGGGAGAGGCTGATGGGCACTGGCTTTGTCCTGCAGGAAGGAGCTGAAGGACCCAGACCAGCTCTACAAYATGCTGAAGAACCTCCTGGCTCAGATCAAGGTGTGGGAAGGAGGGGACCTTCCCTCCAGGGTGCCTGTGTGCCTCACAGCCCTCAGAGCTGCTTCCCCTGGAATGAGTACATGGCTTTGCCCTTGGGGGCTGCGGGGGTGACCCGCGGGGGGCAGGGAACAGGACCCCTGGGTGCTGGAGTGACCAAGGGTTGTGTGGTCACTGCTCCAACTGCCCCCTGCCTCTTTCCAGACCCATCCCAGTGCGTGGCCTTTCATGGAGCCGGTGAAGAAGTCAGAAGCACCGGACTACTATGAGATCATCCGCTTCCCCATTGGTAGGTTGCTGTGTCAGGACAGGATGGTAGCAGAAGGGGCTGAAAATCCCCCATTTATTATGGGGTTTTTGCTGGGGACTCATGTTTGGGGTGATGGGAACCTTGGGATAGTCCAGTGTGAGACAGGGATGAGTTGGGCCCCGTGATCGGTGTCCAGCTCAATGGCTGAGGAGTGTAGAGACCTGGGGGGAGGGGTCCTGACCCTTTCCCACCCCCYAGATCTGAAAACCATGACAGAGCGCCTGAAGAACCGCTACTAYGTCACCAAGAAGCTGTTCATCGCTGACCTGCAGCGCATCATCACCAACTGCCGCGAGTACAACCCGCCCGACAGCGACTACTGCAAGTGTGCCAACACCCTCGAGAAGTTCTTCTACTTCAAGCTGAAGGAGGGGGGGCTCATCGATAAGTAGGGGGGCTGTTCTGGAGCTGCTGTGGCCACCGGTSCTCCCATGGGAGGGACAGGGCTCCTGTGGGATCCAGCCCCACTTGCTGTGGGTAGGAGCTGCTGGAGGGATTGGTGCTGCTGAGCAGCCTGGGGAGCTGGGCTTTCCTGCTTTGGGGGTGAGGGGCCAGGGGGGCTGGTGCTTTTATCACTGAGGTGCTCTGGCTGCCTCTCCTGGGGAGTGGGGGTGAGCCTGGAGCTGTCTCATTGGGATGTGCCCAGGACAGGGACAGCACTGAGCTCCTGCCTCTGCCCGGGGAGGGGGAGCCCCTTGGCCCCTGTGCATCCCCCCTACCTGGGATTGTGCCTTCTGCCCTGGCTCCCTGTGACAGGGCAGGGGCACACAAGTGCTTTGGTTTCTGCTCCGTCCACKTCCAAGCAGCCCCTCCCCATCACGTTGAATGTACAGCGGGGTCAGCCCCGTGGCTGCCCGCAGCGGTGCTGCTCCTGGGCCAGGGTCCTGTGGGGTGGGGGGCTCTGCCCTGCACACCCAGCTCCTGCTGCCTCTGTCAGCTCTTCCTTCACCCCGGGGCAGGTCTGCCTTCCCTGCCTGTACACCTCCCTCCTGCCCCTGCTGCCAGCTGGGGGSGTGGGGGGCTGCCAGCCCCAGTCCTGCCCCTCTGGGTGCCAGGGAGGGTGGCTGCCCGGTGCTGTGCTGGCCTCTGTTCCCCCTGCTCTGCTCCAGCTGGCCACCCCTGCTCATCTCCCCCTTCCCTCCCTGCTCTTTGTGCCCCCCACCCCTTCCCTGCCCCATTCCACCTGAATGGTGTTTTGTTGGTTTGTTTGGTTTGTTTTTTTTTGTTTTTTAAATAAATGTCCTTGTCCAGCCCCAGCTTCGTCCTTGGGGCTCGCCCCAGTGTGGTGGGTGGGGGGAGAGCCTGGGATGTTCAGGGTGTCAGGAAAAGGAATCCACAATGCCAGAGCTTTATGTCCAAAAACGAGACAGAGGAGTCCTGTAGTTACTCGAATAAAGGGAGAGAGTTCACTGGGGCACAYGMCCGTGGGGTTTTTCTCTSGGGGTTTGGGAGGRTAAAGCCACCTTTTATCCCAAATTCCCGGCTGCACGTTGCCCTCTTCCCTTCCCCAGTGGTGGAGGGACTGGGAAGGTACAGCCATCCCWAACWGCCTACACMTATCCCACCCTGAACCTGTCATTTTACCCCAAAGTGCGGGTGCAGACCCACTTTTCTGTTTCAGGAATCAGGCTGGCTGGGCTCTGTTAGAAACCTGCTGCTTACGGTTAGGAGAGACATTAAAACTCCTTTCAAAGRCGTTAACACCCATCTCCACACACAGAATTGTTTGTGAAGACATCGGCCCGCAGCTTTCCCATCATGCGGGATGTTTGTGTCGGGGAGGGGAGCAGGAAGAGTGTAAAGGTTCCCGTGGGACGGGCTGGGGTGCAGAGGTTGGTTGGGGTGTACGGTGCTGTGCTGGGGACGCAGGGACGGGCTGTGTGCGGGGCGGTGCTGTGGCAGCTCCACTCGGTTTCGGTTTCTATTCCCAGCCGGAGCTCCGGGGGGATCGCCGGTCCGGGCAGCTCGGCTCGGCACGGCTCGGCTCGGCTCGGCTCAGTTTGCCCCAGCGCGGCCGGCGGGGTCCCCCCTTTGCAGGGCCCCCWCTCCGGGACCGGCAGGACGCGCCGCCTCCAGTTTCGTTTCCCGGYCGGTCCCGACCGCTGCGGGACACGGAGCGGCGGGGAATGGAGCTCCGCGGGTACCAACGGGAAGCGGCGGCCCCGGCCCTGCGCGGCCGCAACAGCATCGTCTGGCTGCCCACGGGCGCCGGGAAGACTCGAGTGGCCGTCCACGTCTGCCGGCGACACCTGGAAAGCCGGAGGGGCGGCAAGGTGGCCGTGCTCGTCAACAAGGTGCTGGCCTGTCCCGGGACCGCGGCAGCCACGGGTGGTGGCCCCGGCCGGTGCTGAGCGTGGTTCTGTTGGTGCAGGTTCACCTRGTGGACCAGCACAACGAGAAGGAGTTCCACGCGCTGCAGGACGCCTTCAAGGTGACGTCCATCAGCGGGGACACCAGCCACAAAGCTTTCTTCGCCGACCTGGTGAAGAAGAGCGACGTTGTCATCTGCACAGCCCAGATCCTGCAGAACGCCCTGGTCAGCGCGGAGGAGGACACGCATGTGGAGCTGACAGGTGGGTACCAGACCACTCAGGCTACCGGCCCCACAGCTCACAGCCGAGCCCCCAGCTAACCCAGCTCTCCTCCCTGGCCCCGAGCAGATTTCTCACTGCTGGTGATAGACGAGTGYCACCACACGCACAAGGATGCCGTCTACAACAAGATCATGCTGAGATACCTCCAGCAGAAGCTGAGCGGGGAGCGGGGCCTGCCACAGATCCTGGGGCTGACGGCRTCCCCTGGCACTGGGGGGGCAACGTCCTTCGAGGGGGCCGTAGAGCACATCCTGCAGGTGTGTCCTGTGCCCCTGTCCTCCTTTGGCACAGCTTTCCCTGGGGTACAGTGGGGTGGCCCTTGGGATGGGGGGTGATGCTGTTGGGGGGCCCAGAGGAGTCATCCCCAAACTCACCAGGTTGGCCTGTCCTGGGCTCAGGGTGGAAGCAGAGTCTTTCCCTCTCAGATCTGCGCCAACCTGGACACTGAGAAGATCACATCGGTGCAGGAGGAGGAGCAGCACCTGCAGAGCCACGTCCCCCAGCCCAGGAAGCAGTATGACCTGTGCCAGGAGAGAGTGCAGGTGAGAGATGGCTGCTCATGGGGTGGAAGATGAGACCCCCAAGCCCTGCTGGGTGAGGGTCTGGGTCCCTTCATCCACTTCGCTCAGGCCAGTGTGAGAAATCACCTGACCCAGAGCTCTGGTGCCGGGGATCCTGCAACTCTCTGGGTCCCACCATGCAACCAGCCACGATCCCCTGAGCCCCTCCCTGCCCCCAGGACCCCTTCGGTGAGCGGCTGAAGAGGATGATGATGCAGATCCAGCAGTACATGCAGGAGCCGGATCTCCCGCGGGACTTCGGCACGCAGATTTACGAGCAGCGCATCGTGGAGCTGGAGAAGAGAGGTGAGGGCGCGGCCGGGGCGGGGCGGGGCCGAGCCGCAGGGACAGGCTGTGACCGCGGGGACAGGCTGTGACCGCGGGGACAGGCTGTGACCGCGGTGTCCCCCTGCCCGCCAGCCGCGGAAGCGTTCTGCCGCAAGACGCGTGTGTGCGCCCTGCACCTGCGCAAGTACAACGACGCTTTGCTGATCCACGACGCCGTGAGGATGCTCGACGCCTTCCAGTGCCTCCAGGAGTTCTACAGCGCCGAGAGGGACAAGAAGGACCCCACCGAACAGTTCCTGGCCGCCACCTTTAAGGGTAACAGAGGAGGGTGGTGCTGGCTAAATTTGGGGTGCAAGGAATCGCCCTGACACCCCGCTCACCTGCGCAGAGAACAGGGCGAGCCTGCAGGCGCTTGCCGGGGACCAGCGTTATGAAAACCCCAGGCTGGGCAAGCTGGAGGGGATCCTGCATGAGCACTTTCAGCCCCTRGGCACTTCCCGAGGCATCATCTTCACCAGGACAAGGCAGAGTGCCCACAGCCTGCTCAGCTGGCTGCACACCACGGCCACGCTCCGTGGGAAGCACATCAGGGCTGCCGTCCTGACCGGCGCCGGCTACAGCAACCAGACCAAGCACATGACACAGGTGAGCGGAGCAGAGGAACTGAACTGACCCCACTCTGCACACTTTTTGGGGTGCCTGGGTCTCAGCCCTACACGCCTGCTGGAGCATCACCCCCCTGTCTACCCAGAATGAGCAGCAGGATGTGATCAAGCAGTTCCGCGAGGGAGCCCTCAACCTGCTCTTCTCCACCAGCGTGGCCGARGAGGGTCTGGACATCCCTGAGTGCAACATCGTGGTCCGCTACGGGCTGATGACCAATGAGATCGCCATGATGCAGGTCAGATCCTCCTGGGATCTGCTGGGATCCCCCAAAGCCTCAGGGGTGGGACAGGGGGGCTCTTGCATTCCCTGCTGGCAGCTCCTTGGGGATGAGCCCAGCTCCTGGCAGAACATTTCCTTGGCAAGGAGCAGGGGAGGGCAGAGGTGGCTGTGTCCCACAGGGTGACACAGAAGGGTCAGCCGTGTCCCCGTTCTRCTGACTGCAACATCTGCACTGCAGGCCCGGGGCCGTGCCCGTGCYGAGAACAGCGTCTACTCTGTCCTGGCCAAAGCCAACAGCAGAGAGGTGAACCGAGAGCTGCTCAACGAGAAGCTGGTGGAGCTCATGAAGAGGGCGATTCAGGCAGTGCAAGCCATGCCAGAGCAGGAGTACTGCCGAAAGGTGGGTGCTGGGTGCTGCCRTGGGCACTGGCAGGGCCAGGCAGCTCTTGCCCACATTTGCACCTTGCATTTGGCTGCCTGCTCTGCCTCGGGGCAGCACCAGATCCTGGGATGGGGTTGTGTGAGGGGCATTGGGCAGCATGTGCCCATCCTGCCCTGTCCTGCCTGTTGGTTTGTTGGTGTTTTGTTTTTTTTTAAATAAATGTCCTTGTGTAGCTAGCCCCAGCTTCATCTTTAGGGCTCACCTCAGCATAGTGGGTGGGGGGATGTTCTGGGTGTCCTGCGCTGTGGTTTGCACTCCTGGGATGATGSATTCCTCAGTGGCCACAGATCTGGCCATATCCACCATCCATCCTCTCCTGCAGCCCTGTGCTGACCCCTGCTCCTCCCCGTCCCCCCCAGATCCGGGAGCTGCAGGAGGTGGCCGTGACCAGCTGGCTGATGAAGGAGGCCAGGCTGAGCGAGCGGCGGCAGCGGCACGACCCCGACTCCGTTCGCCTGTACTGCGTCAACTGCAGCCGGGCCGTGTGTCGGGGCAGCGACATCCGCACGGTGGAGGACATGCACCACGTCAACGTCAACCCCAGCTTCAGGTAGGAGCCTCACACGGGCAGGGCTGAGCAGGCAGATGGGCATAGACAGCACCAGCCTGCTGCCAGCTCTGTGTTAGGGACCTTGGTACAGGGAGGTTGTAGGAACTTTGACCACGGGAGCACCTGTGCTGCGCTGTTTGTGTGACCTGGGTTATCATCCTTGCTGTCTGCTGGCTTCTTTCTTCCAGGTCGTTTTACAGAGTTTCTTCTGGGAAAATACAGTTCCAGCGGACTTTTCGGGACTGGGAGCCCGGCAGCCGAATCGCCTGCAAAGCCTGCAGCCAGGTGAGTGCCACAATTCCCCCGTGTCTGCAGCCAGGGCTGTGCCTTGTGCCCCAGCTCCCAGCTGAGGAATGAACCATGTCCCCCCTGCACACAGCCAGGTGATGGGTGTGCTGTGGGACATGGACACAGGCTCCAAAGGAAGGACACACCTCGGGAGCAAGGAGCTGTCCCACAGCCTGGGCACGCTGTGTGTGCGTGGTGTGACTGTCCCCTCCCTGCCCACACAGGACTGGGGGATGGAGATGTTGTACMGGCAGGTGAAGCTGCCCATCCTCTGCATCAAGAACTTCGTGGTGGAGACGCCGGCAGAGAAGAGGAGGTACAAGAAGTGGAGCGCCGTGACCTTCCCCATCAAGGCATTTGACTACCTGGAGTACTGCTCGGACACTCACAGCCTGTCCTTCTAGCACGGGCTCTGTGCAGAGCAGGACCATTCACAGGGCACTTTCAAGGTCTCACATGAAAAGGGGAGGCTTCCTCGACCCTTTGGACAGAGAGTCATGGCTCACTCCTCTCTTCCTCGCTGGTCTGAGCTGCAGCAGCCCGTCCCTTGGCTGCTGAAGGAGCTTTGCTGCATCACATAGAAAAGAGGAGATGCTGGGATTGAAAACCATCCAAACCCTTCCTTGCTCCCCATGCTGCTGCCTTCCCCTCCGCAGCCCTGCCAGGAGAACCATCCCTTTCTGCAGACTCAGGACACAGCCCAGCACTTCTCTGACTCGTGAATTCGATGGGTCTCCATTAAAAACGCACATACTCGACTGAAGGGGCAAGTCGGCTGTGTCACTGTGTCACTCGCGGCCAGAGCTGGCAGGTCACAGCGGGGACAYTGCACCAGAGCCAGACCCCGCTGTGCACTGTGCTGGCAGTACAGGGGTCTGGAGGGGACAGTGGAGCCTGTGAGGCTGCCCCGGCCCTACCCCACCGCAGAGAGTGCCGGAGGGACCCATCTCACCCACCCACCCAAGGGAGGGACCCATCTCACCCACCTGAACGACCCTAAACCTGGGGGCAGCCCCAGGGGTCCCTGCGGGGCTCCGGGCATCCCCTCGATCTTCACCGGGGCCGCTCTGGGAAGCTCGTGGCGTCCGAGCCCGAGCGCTGGGGGAGCCGCGGGCTTG